CTTGCCACGAGTTCCCAGAATTCTTTGCGGTTTTACCCCTGAGTGACGTCACATTTCCAATCTCTATAAGAATGTGTTCTTTGACTGATTAAATAATGGTTACACTGACTCACTGCTCCACCTTCTGGTACAAACTGGTATTACATGGAAGTACAGCCCAGCACCAGTTTAGCTTGGGTTTCTTTTTTCTGGACACAAAGTCACAGCGGTTGTTGTTGCCTCAGAAAAAAAGTTAGATTTGGGGGAAAAAGCAAGAAGTTAAAATGAAATGTAAAAAAAATAATGTTTCTATGCACATCTGCAGTTTAGAAACATGTCAGTTTGGTAATATAAAATAAAATGTATTCCTATAACTTTTATATCCTAAGAGAACAAAGATTAAAATGTAACAGGGATAACATTTTAGAATATTAAAATCCCTCAAAGGGAAAAAAAACTTCTATCTATACTTGCAACTTCCTAAATAACATCCAGGATTATTCACTGCAGGTCCAGAAAGCAGAGCTACCTCATCAGATCCAAGTGTGACATCAGCTGACACTCTTTACAGGAGACTCCAGCGGAACTCTGTGGAGCCTGATCTCAAGGTTTTTAAGTCTGACCCTGAAACCAGAAGAGGATCTTTCTGTCTCTTCAGATTCATTGTGATCCAGTGATCACAGTCCTGCATGATCACGCTGATGCTTGCACAGAGCAGATAATGAAGTGAATGTTTTTGCACATTGGTAACAGTGAAACAGTTTATTTACAGCGTGGGATCGTTTATGTTTGGAATATGAACTGAGATTCATGAAGCTTTTGTCACACTGGTCACAGCTGAAGTTCCCTTTAACGTGTGTACGTTCATGAAGGTTACGACAACTTGATTGTGAAAAGCTCTTGTCACAGTGTCTGCACTTGTATGGTTTCTCTCCTGTGTGGACTCGTTTATGCTTTCTAAGGTCACATGCAGTGGTGAAGGATGACCCACACTGGTCACACACGTGCTTTTTAACCCCACTGTGACAGAGTTCATGTTTTTTTAATTCACTCGGTGTGGGGAAGCCTTTCCCACATTCTTTGCAGTAGTTCATTTTATCTCCAGTGTGTCTACGCTGATGTAATTTTAGGCACCGCTGCTGATTGAAAGTTTTTCCACAAAGGTCACAACGAAACGCTTTCCCACCACCACAGCGATGACAGGGTTGAGAACTGGATCCATCTGTGTCGCTCTGCTTCTAAACAAAGACACAAACACAGTGTAAGTCGGGGAATTCCTTCAACATTTTTGCAAGAATTAATAAATAGCACATTAGAATTGATGAACTGCCCAGCACTGCCGTTTAATGCGGTATAATCCCTAACAGGCAAACAGTTTATTTTCTAGAATTTTTCAAAACAGTTTCCTGTTCGTCATTTCCTTGTTTTCTTTCTGTCCTGTCAATTGAGGTCAAAATAAATAAACGAGGAAAATACATACCTCACAGTAACTGCACTTGTAGAGTTTCTTTCTGGTGTGGATCTGTTGGTGTTTTTTCAGGAACCGTAGAGTTGTAAAAGCCTTATTACACAGGTCACATTTATAAGGTCTCTCCATAGTGTGTGTAAACAGGTGGTGGTGCAATTCTGTGTCTGTTGCGCACTTTTTGCCGCATTGATCACAGTAGTAATCACCATGTAGAGTGTGAGTGGGTAGTTGTATATTTTGGTATCCTAACTGGCTGAAAGTTTTTCCACACATGTCACAGTCCTCCACCTTAATTCCAGGGTGGGTAACTTGATACATCGTTGAGCTGCTACACTGAGTGAAAACTCTGCCACACTGATCGCAGCTGAGCGCTTTAACTTTGCAGTGTATGAGTTGGTGTGTTTTTAAGTGTTCAGGCTTAGTAAAAGATTTTCCACACAAGTCACAGCTAAATTGTCTCTCTTCAGTGTGGATGAGTTGATGACATTTCAGGTTAGACTGCCCAATAAACTCCTTCCCACACTCGTCACAGCTGTATGTTTCCTCCGCCTTATTTCTGTGAAGTTTGTTGGCCTCTTGAGAGCACTGACTTCTCTCTCCATGTTGGTCCTGCAGTGACAGAGATACAGAGGCAGTGAGTGAAATGCAGTCCTCAAACAAACTGAACCTCCCTCCATTAACACTTTTGAAGATGCCAACTGCCACTAGAATTTTAGATGATTCCCTAAAATATTTAAATACAGAAACAGTGACTAGATCAAAAGAAAGAGGACAATATGTCTGTGAAGGCTCTCAATCATCCAGGTCATCGTAGTCAAAGGAGCTTGCAAAGAAAAGCGTCTGGACTTCTTTAAGTTTCCTTGAAGACGTTTCACCTCTCATCCGAGAAGCTTCTTCAGTTCTAAGAGTAACTGGTGGAGAGTCCCAGATTTTAAGCCCTATGGGAGTGTTCCCGTGGACGCTGTATTGATACTCTATGTAATCACACCTTCACTAAAACCTTGGCTGGTTGTGACCCATGACCTTTTACGATTAGGTAGAGGATCAAAAGGGTGTCCATGGATCTGATTTCACTTTTATCTAACATATTCCACATGGCAGTACCTTTGTCTTCTTACATGAAGATAATAGAGTTAATTATTTGTCCGTCTAAAGCAGTGGTTCCCAAACTTTTTTTTTGCTAGGCCCCCCCTTTGTTTGACAACACAAATCTTCACAAAAAACAAACAAACAAACAAAAACAAAAAAACACATCCTCCAACCACACACACATATTTTGTTTTCAAACTTCATTCATGACTTTCTACAATGGCAGATAGAGACAAAATACTGTTAATCTGACTATCTTCAGGTTTTACACACTCACACATAAACACGCAGTTACTGTCCCTCCATGTAGAAAGGCAGAAGCGTCACTGTGTAATTATCTTACATGTAGTTGTTTTTTTCCTATGTAATAACATTCAACATAGTTATCAATACATTTTTCAAAAATGTCTCTCTGTGCAAAATGGGTTCAAAACATAAACAACTGTGGGATCCTGTTTGTCCGTGATTTGGACAGGGGGAACAATGATGAAAAAATATTGCCGTAAACAGTTTATTTTGCAACACCACTAAACAAACGATAGTGTAAAATGTTCTTGAAACTCTCAATTTACCTGTCATGAATGAAGACCAGAATAAACAACTAGCCTCTGAAATAATGGTAAAGGAGTTAGAAAATGCCATGAGAAACCTGAAAACTAATAAATCGCCAGGAAGTCATGAGTTCACATCTGAATTCTACAGGGAGTGCAGAATTATTAGGCAAGTTGTATTTTTGAGGAATAATGTTATTATTGAACAACAACCATGTTCTCAATGAACCCAAAAAACTCATTAATATCAAAGCTGAATGTTTTTGGAAGTAGTTTTTAGTTTG